GAGTGATGGATGAATGTGGACAGGTCGAGAAATACTCGTCCTTCACGTTGAGACCCAGGATCTTACTATTTATGAATATTATTAGCATATATTGCCTGACCGGTGAGTGCAGAAATTGCCAATTCTCGATTGAATGCGGAAAACTCGAAACACTCACTTTAAATTCAATTCCATTTTTTTCATTGAGTGATTTTTCAGAATTTTCGGAGCAATCTAGCAGCTGTGGATTTTTTAATCACGTCATTTGCAAAACTTTAAGAAGAGGAATTAATTCTAATAGTAATGAATTAATGAAGTAGGTCTGAGCGGACGGGCAGTCGCGCGTCGTGCGACGTTGCCGGAACTCGGGTAAAGTGTGGGGCGCAGCCTAGAGTGAATTCGGCAACTATGGAGTTGAAATAAAACGCTGACGGACCTCTGAGTCGTTGGATGAACGGAAAAGTGACGTTTGACGACGAAATTGACGATTCCATGATCCCCATTTGCCCTCAAGAGCCTCCACTGTCAACCCGGTCACAAGATAACGGATGCTTTGGATTTTCTTGTTACCTCCACGAGATTACTTGAGACCGACGTTGATACCGAGGTATAATCGCTCGACGTTACCCCCACGAAAACGCATCTTAGCCACTCCTACTTCTTCTCCATTGGACTGTTCTCGAGGTTTTACTACTGATAAATCATCTACGAGCAATCTCTGTAGCGGGCGACTTTTTCCCCGCGTGTTCCACAAATCGGAGAGAGAAAGATAGTTCTCGGAGACATTCACTAAAACTTTTAGAGTAACCATTTTCATTTTAATGGTGAAATGAAATGAATTAAATGTCGATCTTCAATGAATAATTTTTGTAAGGATTGCAGTTTGAGTTTAAGTCAAACAATAAAATTTTAGCTGCGGTAATTTTTTTTTCACCGGAATTTATGGATTAAAAATGAACTGTCTCCGGCGATGACACAACCGGGTATTTGACTGTACTACCGCTTTTATTTGATAAATCGTGCTGCGACCTCTCAACTACCCTTCATCGGTGGCCCCTCATGCCGTGGGTACCACCTCCCAGTGTACCCCGGTCATCTGAATTTCTAATGCATTATTTTTCCGCCCTCATACCCGGACACATCGCGTCAGCCATCCGAATGCCCGAGGGTGACTCCCGGAGGGGCTCAAGA